CTTTTCAAGCATCAGTCTGTTGTCTGTAGATGGATATTTTGTCGGTAGGTCGGATTTTCTCTTATAAACTGACGTATCATCAGCATCCTGTTTAGTACCAGTAGGCTAGTTTTGGCTGGTAGACCCGTCAGATCAACTTTTTCCGGTAAACCGGTTTGGACCGGTGGGACCGGTTTTTATTGGTAGATCGGTTCCATCTGTGGCGGAAGATACATTAAAACGAAGTTTCACTGTAAGAATCAATGTATTATTGGTAAGCCAGTTTTACCGATCCGGTCCCGTCTGATTTGTTTTGGACCGGTACCGGTACCGGTCTGAAAAAAAGTAGACCGGTTCCATCTCTGGTATACGTGCCGTAATCTCATTATGATAGGGCCGTATAACTGCGCCCATCCATATGACCGTATACGGTCTGTTTAGGCGCCGTAAAGTAACCGTAAACGGTCGTATACAGGCCGTATCGATGGACCTGAATATTCTTTAATCCAACAGCATATCGTTTTCTGAATTATAAACTAAAAGTAGAAGTAAAATTAGCATCTATTGTCATTCACATGTTAGCTGTCAAATAGAATGTCTTGCTTGTTTTATGTATCACAGATTTTTAGTCTTTATGTCGCATCATTGTATAACAAACTTGAAGAGAAGAATATCTGTGATGCGTTGAAGTTATTCACATTACTGTTGATGTCTTCGTACCACAAAAAACTTCTACCATCTCTAGATGCATGTCTTTATATATAGAAGTGACCAAGAGATAAAAAAAAGGCCATCAAGTATCAGTCATGAGAGAGAGCATAAGAATCGAACATGTTAGCAGCTATCAAATATAAACAAAACCATTGTAAAGATGACAAAGAGAAAGCCATAAGAATGACGATGGTACATGTTCAATGAAACTTTATTAATATAATCGTCAACTCTATGATAAACTATGCTTTGAAATCAGTAATCCACAATGAATGTTTTTTTTGCAAATTCTCCCTTCATACAATCTCTTTGACTAACAAAAGAAATCTTTAGCCTGCATGTTTGATCAATGGCACTTCTTGATATGTTAGAAAAAAATACAAAATTATTTTCATGATTGTGAAAATAAAGAGAGCACCTAGTAGAATTAATTGTCTATTGTTTAATCAGTCAGAAAAAGTGATTATACTTCATATTATGTTCGCATGAAAAAGCATACTAGCAAGACTATTTATCTTGGTATTAGGATGGATCCATGAGAATTTCAACACTCATCAAAATTTTTGTTGAAAATTTAATTTAAAAAAGTTATTCTCAACTAAGTTATCCAACCTAATGATATTTAGTTTGAAAATCTATCGACCAAATGATCATCAAACTACAAATTGCAAGTAAAATATTGAAATAGTCGCACTTACTGTATTATATTTTTGAGCATTAGACACACATAGATATTATGTATTAGAAAGAAGGTTATACTTCTTTTGACGATGAAAACTAGTTTAAAAATGAAGAAGCTCACACATATACACACCAAGTATGTATAGTACTGAGAACGACTAGATAGAAGAAATTTTACGTTCGAAAAATATACCAGAAAAATGAATATTTATATGACGGATCAGGAACGTGATCAGTGAGTTAGAGGGATAAAAACGTGCTGGAATCCTTTTTATTATTGGATATCATCATATAACAAATTGCATTATGCACTTATATTTGGCATTCACTTGATAAAAAAAAGTTAACTAGCAGGCAGAAATACAGTAGAGATGGGTGGTAAACACTTCATATGTTTAGTAACATTTTGTTTCAGCTATAAACGCTTGATAATTAATTAAATAGTCATATGTTCAGTTTATTTTAAATGAATTTAGAGAATCAGGAGAAAACAGTAAACGTTTACTATACATTTCCAGACGATGTAATTGTTATTTCGAATATCACTTGCTCTTTATTGATAAGTCTTATTTCTCGATAAATTTCTACGAACGTATCGGACTGTGAACAGTATTGCATCAGCAATGCACTACTTTGCTTTTTGTTTGTCTATTGGTTGAGAATAAACGGCATGAAATTAGCAGTACAATAATAGAATCTTCACTCATACAGCAAAACACTATGGTGCCTTATTAGTATAAGGGACGATTAATCAATATTCAAAGATATAACTTGATATTCAGCTCTTTGTGTATTGAAGAAACGTGCAACATATATATGAGGATCTTCAATATATAGAGAATGATTCTATTTAGTTATTTTATTTCAACGTGTTCTCGTTCATTATAATCATATTTTAGATGATTTGACCAGCAAAAGTTTGGAAGAAAACTCAAAGAGATTCACGGAACCTTCATATTGTTATGCAAATCAATGCATGGTTCATTTTTTTACCAAAATGATTTTCATTCACTCAATATTCAATTCCTAAACGAAAATCAATTTCATTATTTTTTTGATAAAATTTTGTGGAACGATAGATTGTCGATACTTATTCACTGGCATAACTAAAACTGTTAAATTCAAACAAATCATTTAAACAGAATTGACACGATAAAAATAATCTTAGAAAAAAAAAACTTCTGTAAAACTTTATTAAAGAATCTGACAGTAAATGAAATCATCCGAGCACAATGTACAATACAAGTATGAAAAGAAATATCTGTTTTGGTTTAGTCATGAAAAACAACTGAATAACCGAACAAAATTGTTCGCAAAAAGTATACAATTCGAAGAGAAGATAAAAAGCAAGAGAATCAACATGACGTGACTATGATACTTTGAAATATGGTAGTATAATTGAAAGATAAGTAAGTAGTAGGCGATTATTCATTGTTATACTTGAAGCATTGGCATTGTATACTATCATCATAGTCTGTATGTTAATTGAAATAAAAAAGTGAAACGTGCGAAATATTTTTATGATTTTATTACGTGTCTTATACAAATCAGGCTTGATTAGAAAAGGAATGAAAGTTTTGAATATCATTCTTTTGAAAGATTAAGGGTATGAAAACTAAGTGTCGTAGCAAGTGCACAAATATATTTATTTTTTAACAGTTCAAAAGATTATTTGTGTTCATCGGTTTTTAGATGTAAATTTTGGTAATGAATTGAACCTATACGCAAACAAGCACTAAGATTATTTAGAAGATGATTATATCATCCCTACTCATGAAAACAATTTCGTTAACGGTCGAAAGAAGATAACTCTATTTTAATTTGATAGATTTGATTTAGTTGTCAGTCAGGTGATTTATTATTTTTGGATGGTATACTATATCAAAAAAATTTAATATTTGTTTGTATAAAGAATAAAACTACTTAGTCGTATAAAATCTTGTAAATACTATTTTCAAATTATGTACTAGGATTCAGTCAATTTTATCACCTTCATATTCTGGTACTACATTTTACTTTTGAGTTTATTAAGTTTAGTCTTTTCTCTAATGAATATTCTACACAGTTGTATTGAAATATATTAATAGATATCATAGCTGTCGAGAATGATACATTTAGGCTTGTTATTTTGGTTCTGCTCACTCTTTCTTTTTTCGGTATTGGTTTTACATATTGTTGTATCTCTTTCTCATTCTCTTCTCTTCTGTTTTTTCCTTGATACAGATTTGGTACGTTGAAATATGCGAAAGTGGCTTGTTTGTTTAAAAGATGAGGGGAGCATTCATTGTTTTTTTTTGGCAGAGAAAGATTGGAAGATTGAATTCAAACAATAGCAGTGTTATTAATAATCTAGTTGTCAGTCAGGAAGAAAGACAGCACTTGGTGCGAATCAATGTTGAGTGCATTGTCAACTGTAACTAAATTTCTATTTTATAGAAAATTGAGATAGAAATACCTAAAGCAATTTAAAAGTTTTTATAGATTGCTAAGCACATTTGAAATTTAGAGAAAGATTGACTGTTTTATACAATATGAAACTTCGATTTTATTTTCTCGAGAACTAAGTTTGAGAAATAAAAATCAAATTTTATTTTGCAAAAGAAAACAGAGATCAATTTTGTTCAGCATGGGCTATTCTGAGATGGCTGCAGCAACTTTACGAACTGCATTCATAACATAGATTTCTCATGTTACTTTTTTTCGTGAACTACATGCTTCTCTTCATATAGTGTTCTTTCATTGAAAACTGAATTGATCATTTTGGAACTTTTCATTTGACAAAAGTATTCATTTTGTATTATTACATTTCTGCTAGACATTGTTTCTTGCAATTTCTAATTACATATATAAGAGCAGTTCCATAATAATTATGCAGTTATTTTTGTTTTACATCACAGTCGTTTTTCATGAGGTATTTACGGTTTGATAATTTTAACATTGAATATCCAAAATATTATTGACTTTTCCTTTGTCGTATATGATATTGTGGCTCATAAACGAAGTTAATGTTATGAATTAATTAGTTAGGTGCAAAAAAAAGAATTATGCAATGTTGTTTATCAAAACTATTGTATTTTCTAGAAAAAATTCAGATTTTAAAAAAGTTCAACTAAATGTGATCATGATTTTTTAATTAGAAAATCAAAATTTGAACTTTTTGAATTTCATTTTTTTGACAAAGCGAAGATCAGTTGTCGAACTCAGACTTGTCTAGAATATTGCTTTCGATTTTCTATAGTGTATTTTACTTTTTAAGTAGAATATTTCGAAGAAAACCGTCATAGATGTACGATTCTTTCTTTACAACTATTACTTAACATATTTAAAAAGTTCAGAAGGAATATCATGTCACTGACAGCAATGTTAGTCAAACTCTAATTTTCATTTAACATCTTACAATAGAAATGATATTTAAATCTGTTGATTAACATTATGTTGATATCTTTTTTCTTTTGTATTTGTCTTTCAAACACATGGGTTTGCTCTTTATTTTATTTGTCTATCTGATTTCTTCAAGCAAACACGTGTATATATACATACATACAAGTGTGGCCATAGTTTAAGATTGTTACATTATCATTTTAAACTGAATGATCTAAAATAAAGAATATCAATCGATGGAATAAAATATGCGTGAAATTGTGAATATCTCTATTGGACAATGTGGTAATCAGATTGCAGGAAAAGTAAAAACAAAAACAAGAGCAGATAATGTAATTGAATGAATATTTTTGTTCTATTCTAGTTTTGGGAAGTTGTTGCTGATGAGCATGGCCTTTCTCCACTTGGTGTCTATGGTGGCGATTCCGATTTGCAACTTGAACGAATCAATGTCTACTTTAACGAAGCAACAGGTAACAAAAATTTATATATTATTCATTTTATATGATGAAAAATGATGATTTTTTAGGTGGTAAATACGTTCCACGAGCAATTTTATGTGATCTCGAAGTAGGTACAATCGATAGTATACGTGCTTCACCCTATGGTCAAATGTTTCGACCAGATAATTTTATATTTGGTTCATCTGGGGCAGGCAATAACTGGGCTAAAGGTCTATCAATTATCACACCAATGAAATCTGATAATAAGTATTTATTTTTCTTAGGTTATTATGGTGAAGGAGCTGAAATAATTGATTATATATTAGATACTGTTCGTCGAGAAGTAGAAAATACGGATTGTCTACAAGGTAATAATGACAATACTTCACTTTTATTCAAAATATTTTTTTTTCCACTTTTTAAAATTAGGCTTTCAAATAATGCAAAGTATTGGTGGTGGATCAGGTTCTGGACTTGGTTCACTTGTATTAAATCGTCTACGTGAGGAATATCCTGATCGTATGTTTTTGTTTTGTTCTCATAAAAAAAATTAAAAATAAAGTTCAACAACATTTATTTTCATTTAAGGAATGATGGTTGGTTATAGTGTTTTTCCATCACCTCAAGTATCTGAATCTATTGTTGAACCATATAATGCTATGCTTGCTGTTCAACATCATATTGATTCAACTGATATGCTTATATGTTTTGATAATGAAGCTCTTTATGATATTTGTACTCGATCACTTAAAATTTCTTTTCCTACAATGACTGATCGTATGTCAATCAAAGGGATAAGATATAGTTGTATTTTTAAGTCTATTTTTTGTTCTAGTCAATCATCTTATTGCTATAACTATGTCAGGTCTTACAACGTGTCTTCGTTTTCCTGGTTAGTCATCTAGAATTAATATTAAATAATTTCTATTGTATATTTTAGGTCAATTAAATGCTGATTTAAGAAAATTAGCTGTTAATATGGTTCCATTTCCACGTTTACATTTTTTTATGCCATCTTTTGCTCCATTAATATCACGAAGTGGTCAAACATATCGAGCAATGTCTGTACTTGAATTAGTTCATCAAGTATTTAATCCTCGGAATTTAATGTGTGCTGTTGATCCAAGACAAGGGCGATATCTTACTGTTGGTGAGAATATGATTTATTGTTTTGTTTACACATAATCAGGTTTAATTATTAAGCACTTGTTTTTCGTGGTCGTTTATCAATGCGTGAAATCGATGAACAAATGTTACACGTACAAAATCGTAATGCACAATATTTTATTGAATGGATACCAAATAATGTTAAAACAGCTGTATGTGATATTCCACCAAAAGGATGTCGAATGTCTTGTACTTTTCTTGGTAAATTAATTAACTTAATAAAAATAAATGAAAATTTTCTTTTATTTTTTTTTAAATAGCAAATAATACGGCTATTGAACAATTGTTTAAAAAAATTTGTCAACAATTTTGTGCTATGTATAAACGAAAAGCATTTATACATTGGTATACAGCTGAAGGGTAAATCTATTTAAAAGTGTATTAAATTGATTTCTTTTTATTTAATATATAGAATGGATGAAATCGAATTTACTGATGGTAAATAATCTCAATTGTCTATGTATATTTCTAGATCTATATTTGATTTTTTTTTAACATTTAGCTGAAGCTAGTTTAAATGACATTATTAGTGAATATCAACAAATTAGTAATTATGAACCTGTAGATCAAATGGTTGATTCTTTGTCCAAATAATTTCTTAAATAAAATTATATATTTGACATGAATATCTAAAAGTATTAGAAATAGAAAAGCAAAATAGTTCAATGAATAGATTATCGAAAGTCTGCCAATAAGATTATTCGTCACTATCAATTTGGATTGTTCTGTCAGAATCGTTTTTCTAATGTCTAATAGAATCTATTAGTGCATTTATATTTTTTTACTGTTACTCTTTCTTGAGTAGAATGACATCTAACGAGTACTCACTGTTGGTTATGTTACATCCATTAACAAATTCCTTAACAGCTGAATGACTGACAACCAAAACTGAATTGGCAAACAACTCAAGAACTTTCATTGCTCTTATCAAAAAGTTCGAGGACGAACTAAAAATCGTACTATCATATCATTAAGTTGAATAAATGAATCCAATGCGTTGTCGTCGATTAAAGATTCTTCTTTTTTCATCATCATTTGCTTTAATAGTTTATCTTATTCGTCGCTATCGTCGATATCTTATATTGAAAAAACGACAATCTCTTGTAACTCTACGAGAAGAATCTTCTACTAATGCCATTCCACCATCATCAATTAGAAAAACAATTAATAAACAATTTTTTCATCAACTTCGAGTACTTATTCGAATTCTTATTCCACGTTTACGAAGTGATTCATTCTTTCTATTAATTACGCATTTAACAACACTTATAACACGAACATTTCTTTCAGTTTATATAGCACATCTTGATGGTGCTATTGTAAAATCACTAGTACAAAGAAATCCACGAGATTTTTTTCGTACAATTAGTATATTTCTAGCTGTTTCCGTTCCAGCTAGTTTTATAAATAGTGCAATTCGTTTTGCAGAATCCAAACTTGCATTAGCATTTCGTACAAAACTAACTCGTCATGCATACGAAGCTTATTTTCGCGTAAGTTTTACATCGTCTATCATTTTTGTTTCAATCAGCAATTCAATTAATTCTAGAATCAAACATATTTTCGAGTCTCAAATTTGGATAGTCGATTACTTACACCAGATCAAAATTTAACAGATGATATTGAAACATTTACATCAACATTAACTCATCTTTTTTCTCATTTAACAAAACCATTTTTTGATGTAGCTGTTATTTCTTGGTCACTTATTTCAATGATGCTACTAAGAAAAAGAGCACGAGGTCTTAAAGGTAATCAGAAAGATAAATCAATCATGATGTTTTAATTTCATTTTTTTTTGTTTTCTATGGTATCAGAAGTACCTGCTATGCTAGTTGTAATTATTTCGGTTACATTCATGGCCCTTCGTAAATTATCACCTCATTTTGGTAGACTTGTCTCTGAAGAAGCTAGAAGACGAGGCATACTTCGTTTTGCTCATACAAGAGTTATTGCTAATGCTGAAGAAATAGCCTTTTTCGATGGTCATGAAGTATGTCGAATGATTTTTCATCTCATATAGAAATAATTTCAAAAATTAAAAAATAGGTTGAGAAAAATTGGATATTAAAATTATACGATCAATTACGGGCACAAACAAGTTTAATTATTAAGAAAAAATTATGGTTTATTATGCTTGAACAATTTTTAATGAAATATTTCTGGCATGCATGTATGTCTACACGAAAATATTTTTATAAATAATAAGTGTTTTTTATTCTTAGGTGGAATGACATTCATTGCAATACCTTTTCTTACATATGATGGACCACCAGAAACAGATGGTAAATAAGACCGATATTCTTATTAAATACTAAATCATCTTTGTTATTATTAGATCCAGTAGGAGATCCACTTGGTATTAGTACACGTACAGAAGCATTTACAGTCAGTAAAAGTTTATTAACATCTGGTGCTGATGCACTTGAACGTATTATTTCATCATATAAAGAAGTAAGATTAATTTATTAGACAATAATTATAAATGAATGAGAATATTCTTTTTTTTTAATTAATTAAAGATTGCTGAATTGGCAGGACATACAAATCGAGTTTATACAATGCTTCATGTTTTTGACGAATGTGCCCATGAACACTATCAACGAGCTCCGATGACAATAGATGAAGGTCATCCTGAGCATTCATTAACAACTGTAAAAAGAAAAGTGGCAGTAAATCAACGAGCAGGTTGGTCAAAAATGAATTGTGAAAAAGAAAAATTTCTGTTTCTTTTGGTTTTATTTGTTTTAATAGAAGGTCAAATCATTGAATCTGAAGAAGATATTATCGCTGAAAATGTACCGATCATCACACCAAATGGTGATATCATTGTCGAAAGTCTTTCCTTGAAGGTAAAGTTCTTCACTACGCACATCAAGGACCACTGTTCTCAATATTTCTTTTTCAGATCACACCGGGTATGCACGTTCTTATCACTGGTCCAAATGGCTGCGGTAAATCATCATTTTTTCGCATTGTTCGTGGTTTATGGCCCATCTATTCGGGCCGTCTTCATCGACCTAATCCATCAAATTTCTTTCTTATTCCACAACGACCTTATATGTGTCCAGGTACATTACGTGATCAAATTATTTATCCAGATACAATTGATCGAGCATTTGTTGATGATAGTAAACTAATGGAAATTCTTAATAATGTTGAGTTACAATATATTGTACAACGTGAAGGTGGTTTAAATGCTGAACGTGATTGGAAAGATATTTTATCTGGTGGTGAAAAACAGCGTCTTGGTTTAGCTCGAATTTTTTATCATCGACCTAAATATGCTCTACTTGATGAATGTACAAGTGCAGTATCAATTGATGTTGAAGGTAAAATATATGAACGAGCAAAAGATTTAGGTATATCATTACTTACTATTACACATCGACCATCTCTTTGGTTAGTAAATTTAGATAATTATTAGAGAAATATTTTCTAAATTTTATTTTTTAAATATCAAAGGGCTTATCATACACATTTACTTCAATTTGATGGTGAGGGTCGATGGACATTTGAAGTATTGAATACAGAAAAACTTTTGACATTGAAAGGTGAGAAAGAACGTCTTGAAGCACAATTAGCTGGTGTTCCACAAATTCAACAACGTTTAAATGAACTATGTCAGTTACTTGGTGAAGATACAATGACAATAGAAAATCAACAGTATGAAGAGATGAATAATAATTGAGATTTTTTTTGCATTAGTAATAGTCAGGAATGGGCTTTTTTTGTTTTATTTTAATGAACATTTATTTAAGTTGAAGTCAGAACATTTGTAATATTATCTTTAATTTATTATATGTGTGTGATGACAACGTTTCGAATAATGTAGATTTTAATGATTTTTCAGTTGTATTCTTATTGATTGTAGTACATGAATGATAAGAATGCATTTTAAAAAGTTTATCAATAAATATATGTGATTTCAAACCTATATTCATCAAATATAATAATGAAAAATGAACAATGACATTTTTTTAAATTAGTTACAAAACAAATCCATTTTTAGACAATTCTTTTGGTACATAAGAGAGATCATAAGTAAGAACAAAACTGAAACTACACATGTTGGATTCGTTTCCTGACAAGATTTTCCAAAATATCAGATCGATTTTGTGCTTCAAGTTGAATATTTCTATGTGACCTCTTTATAAAAGAGATCAACTAAGTAATAAAATCTTATTAAAATGTATGTAGGTGTATTGAATTCTTTTCGTGTTGGCACATAAACACTCATTTTCTTATATATTATTTGAAAAGTTAGATGCCATCATCGTTTTATTGTATCCATAAAGTATTTATTATTTTTGAGTTTTCGATTGGTTTTGATAAAGAAATTAAAAAACGATCAGACTAGTGTGCTTAATAAACTAGTTTTTTTAGTTTATGCAAACTGAAAGAAAATGTTGCATACAAAAGCATTAATTGCTTTCTCATAAAATATTCGGACACGACACTTATTTTACTATATAGTAATTCCTACACGTGTTGAACTTTACGTTTGAATAGACAGGAATCTGTTACTGATATAAGATTCAAATACATATGCTTTATTTGACAGAATAAAGTGCTTTCATTACTTCAATAATTAATTTCCTACGAAGTGCAATCAAAACTCAAGAATATAATGAACAACTGATAATTATGACACCATAGGTGTGCACGAATAACAATAGCTTTTAGAAAACTTGAAAAAAGAATAATTTTTTTTCAAACTATATAATGCGATTATTAAACATCAAGTTAATATTTTTTTGACTAAAAATAAATAATGATACATTGAATGAATAATATAAATTCTTGGTCATAGTAACATTAACATTAAAATATAAAAAAATCTTTCATATCAACGAAGAATCGTTGTAGTACTAATTTCATATGCAAGAAATGTTTTGCGTGAATATACAAATGTATAGCATGCAAATATTCACAAGCATAAGTCCTAGAAACTTTATATCAAAGTTTAAAAAAAGATAGTGTTTTTCAATAATATCTCTTTGCATGAATTATTGTCTTGCATTTATTCGTAACTATGATAATATTTAATTCTTTCGTGGCGATAAGAATACTGCTTTTTCATAATTGGAGAAAGATTTCATTTCTTTATTTATAAGAGTTGTAACACTTCAAAACAACTTTTATCAAGGTTCCTCTTATAAATATGAGCTATGAACATTCCTTTATCATTGGTTAAAGACTCAGCTTCTTTCAAAGTATGACAGAGATACTCAATTTTATCTGTGGTAAATGAGCTTTTAGACTACTCTTTACTGTGAACCACGGGTGGTTCACATCGCCTCTAATGGATTAAAAAGTAATTCGCATGATAGTAGATTAATAAAGAAACATTTGAAGAAATACCTCGTAAGTAAGATCACTTTTCTGAAATTTTTCCATAAATACAAGTATATTTAAAATTTTTACGTTTAGCTGGAAATCGTTCAAAGAAAACAATGAATGCCGAAAACATACACATCCTTAAAATAATCGACAAGATAAACTAATAAAGTGAAAATTGTTAATAATTGAAATATGCACATATATTGTAAATCAGTAAAAAAGTTTGCCTGAGTTCAATGAAATATTGATCT